CCCCCTGGTAAACATTACCATCGTTCTCCACTAATAAACAAATATTGCTTTATAAAAACAACAATAATGGGATTAAGCCTGACGATTTTTGCAACAACAAAATACGATGGTATCCCAAACAAACATGCCAACACTGTTCTAGATGTAACAATTACAAAAACAACAAGTAAAAAACCAGTAAGGAAAGCTCAAAAGTCGGGCGGGGCCGACTATATGATACCCTACACCACTATGCTTATTTAGTAGAGCTCTCGTAAAAAGGTTTATACAGGGCATTTCAGAGCTCTATGAGATATTTGGTACAAAATCAAAATCTATCTAATTCTATCGTGTATTTTACGAACTATAGCTATCTCTGAACCGGGTTTCTCCAAATTTTACGTATTAGCTTCTAGACTGGTGATTTGGACTGATATTGACCATTTAGTGCACATTTAACCCGAAATCGGATGAAGATATATATGAGAGCTATATCCAAATCTGAACCGATTTCGATAAAATTTAAAACAGCTATTCCTGTGCTCCATCTAATACCTGGTACCAAATATCACGGTTGTGGAGTGAATATTACGAATGTATGGGACTAAAACTCTAAATCGGATGAAACATATATATGGTTGCTATATCTATATCTGAACCGATTTTCACTAAATTTGATATACTTGCTTCTAGGCTGAATTTGGTCCGATGTACTAAAATTCAGTCCGTTTGGACTTATATCGGCCATTTGGTGCACAATTAACCCAAAATCGGATGAAGATATATATGGGAGCTATATCCAAATCTGAACCGATTTCGATAAAATTACAAACAGCTATTTCTGGGCTGTATCTTATATCTGGTACCAAATATCATTCTTGTGGAGTGCATATTACGAATGTGAGAGGCTTAAACACCAAATCGGATGAAAGATATATATGGGAGCTATAGCTATATCTGAACCGATTTTCTCCAAATTTGATATACTTGCTTCTAGGCCGAACTCGGTTGGGTGTGCCAAAATTCAGGTAATTTGGACTGATAGTGGACATTTGGTGCATATTTAATCCGAAATCGGATGAAGATATATATGGGAGCTATAGCTTTTTCTGAACTGATTTTCTCCAAATTTGTTGTATTTGCTTTAAGGCTAATCTCGGTCACATGTGCCAAAATTCGGGTCATTTGGACTGATATTGGCCATTTGGTGGTCAATTAACCCGAAATCGGATGAAGATATATATGGGAGCTATATCCAAATCTGAACCGATTTCGATAAAATTTAAAACAGCTATTTCTGTGCTCCATCTAATACCTGGTACCAAATATCACGGTTGTGGAGTGCATAGTAGGAATGTGAGGGACTTAAAGATCAAATCGGATGAAAGATATATATGGGAGCTATAGCTATATCTGAACCAATTTTCTCCAAATTTGATATACTTGCTTCTAGGCCGAACTCGGTTGGGTGTGCCAAAATTCAGGTAATTTGAACTGATAGTGAATATTTGGTGCACATTTAACCCGAAATCGGATGAAGATATATATGGGAGCTATATCTAAATTTGATCCGATTCTCACCAATTTCAATAGGGTTCGTCCTTGGGCCAAAAAAATATTGTTTGGAAAATTTCATGTCAATCGGATAATAAATGCGACCTGCATTTTGTTCACAAGAATACATGGACAGACGGACGGACGGACGGACGGACGGACGGACAGACGGACTGACATGCATAAATCGACTCAGAAAGTGATTCTATGAAGGCTCTCAAAAGTAACTATGGGTCTATCTCGTTTCCTTCTCCATGTTACAAACAAATGCACAAAGACATAATACCCTTACCACTATGTGGTGTAGGGTATAATCAGTAAGTTCCACCGGGCCGAACTTTGAATACCCTCTACCATTTGGAGCGAATTAGAAAATTTTCTAAAAAGTAAAATCCATTAAAAATTCTGTTAAAATCTTTAAAATAATTTATATCGGAAGGTGCCGATATAATATTGAGGACCTATATAAACAAATCTATGTCTGGGGGTAAAGTACTCACAAAGAACTCTTTGTGTAGAATTTCAGACAATTCCGTTGAAAAATGTGGGTAAAATCATCAAAATACCGAATATAGGGGGGTACCGTTATATGGGGGCTATACGATATCGTGGATCGATATAGCCTATCTTCGAACCTGACCTGCCTGCAGGCAAAAGAGACATCTGTTCTAAATTATAGCTTTCTATCTTAATTCGTTTTGACTGTAGCGTGATTACAACAGACGGACGGGTCTAAAATGATTATTTCCATGAGTTACATACGGAATGACGACAGAATATACCCTCCATACTATGTATGGTGGAGGGTATAAAAAATTGTATACTTTATATTGATACGTATTGATGTATTCGTGTTATTAACTTCCCAAATTTCATATATAAACGTTTATTTGTTACTGAAAAAAAAACATAGTGGTGTAAGGTAAAATAACTTCGACTTTTCTTGTTTAAACCTTTGCTGGTCTAATAAAGCTCTGGAACAAATGTAATTTCATATAAAAAATTGTGTACATGAAGGAGATATAGCATTTAAACACTTACTTTTTTAATTCACATGACTGAAGCCTTCAGGCTTATGTCTGACCATTTTGGAATTTATAAGAACCTTATTCGCACAAAGTGCGCCAAACACACACACACACACAGCCACACTTAAGGTGTGCCTTATGTAATGTGTCGTAATATATGTTGCAAAAATACTATTATTGCTGCCTTATGCAATGACATAACTTTAGTATCTAGCCATAAGCTGGATTTTTCTAAAAAGCAAGAAGACACCAACACACAAGGCATACGTATCTATACTATGTATGTCGAAACCTTGAACAGATATATATTCGAGGGAGTACAACACCAAGTATTTATTTATTTATTTATTTTTATTTTTTTTTTGGAACAGTGTTGGCTTGTTTGTTTGGGATACTATAGTATTTTGTTTTTGCAAAATGGTCAGGCTTAATCCCATTGTTGTTGTTTTTATAAAAACAACGTTTGCTTATTAGTGGAGAACGATGGTAATGTTATCAGGGGGTAAGGCAGGGAATACCTAGTTTTCGGAAAGAGCCACCAATCCTTATCAGTTCCCCTGTTTTTATACCCTCCACCATAGTGTGAAGGGTATATTAAGTTTGTCATTCCGTTTGTAACACCTCGAAATATACATTTTAGAACCTGCGAAGTATATATATTCTTGTTCAGCATAAAATTCTATGTCGATTTAGCGATGTCCGTCTGTGGAAATCAGTCTAGCTTCCGAACGAATTTTACTCAAATCTATATTATGTCTGCAGGACTTTTGGTTTTGAAAATGGGTCATGTAGGTCCACGTTTTAGTATAGCCCCCATATAACGGTACCTCCCGACATCCGGTATTTTGGTGATTTTTGCGACAATATTCATCGGAATTGTTTCAAATTTGGTATTGAAATGAATACTACAGCCTATGACAGAAAATTGTATTTGTAGGTCCACGTCTTCGTATTTGGTATTTGAAGTTCGCAATGGATACTATAGCCTAAGACAGAAAATTGTCTGTGCAGGTCCATGTCTTCGTATAGCCCCACATAACGGTACCTCTCGATATTCGTTATTTTTGTTACATTCCCTGATATGGCGGCGCTAGAATGGACCATCCGACTGGCTTGCGTGCTCAGGGCCTCGGTTCTCAACCATCCATATCTAACACCTCAGGGCGAACATACATTTTTCTTTGAAGAGACAAACAAACAACATAAATAAAATTTAGAAACAAGATAACTGTTTTGATAAAGGGATATTGATATTTTTATCCCTACGTTCGCCCGCCCTTCCATGGTTTCCAAGTCTCCTCTTTAAAATCCACTGGAAACCCCACAAGACACTCACACTCACCTCATCACCTTACTCCAAGGGAAACCCCCCGCTTACTAACAGATCACCACATATTTCTTTCACGAACCAAACATTAAAACATTTATTTTATAAAAGGTTTCTTAAAACTAATTTCGTTTTTTTTTTTTAATTGTTTAATCTTTCTCTTTTTTTTTTTTTACGGAATATCTAACACCAGTTTAGCGAGAGACTATTGATTTTTATTCACGCAAATTTTATTACCAAATGCCTACCCTAAGAGAGCTCGCTTAAGATGGTTATTCCTGGGCCAAAATGACCAATTCTAATACCCGACCTCTCTGAAATCGCACACAACTTGTGATTACTATCCTGGCGTTAAAAATCCTTACAGTTGAAATCACTTAAACTCTAGGACATACACAAAGACAACACAATTTTAACACTAAATACATATACGTTGTTGAATGGTTAATTAATTATTAAAATTTCGGCTTGTTTGACAATTGCATCTTAATTGATGTTTTTTTTTTTTTTAAAAACATTAAAATTTTCTTCTTTTCTTGTTTTGCAGGAAACCGCCGACGCACTCTTAGCCCCTTTGTTATATATCTTATAAAATTCAAATTCTAAGGGTTACCTTGCGCTCCAGCCTTGAATGTGTGGCAATTGGTAATACCTTAACCCCGATGCACACTGACTAATCCAAACCAACGCACAGGTATCGTAGTGACTGGCAATTGGTGGATAAGGCTGACACTACCGGCACTTCAATTTTTCTATAGAAAGGATGATGATGCGGGTGATGCTTCCTAGTAATTTGCTGCCACAACCCCAAAATTACGGTAGAAATACTGGGTGAAAGACGAATCACTGGCCCCACTTCTGGAATACCTGAGGCCAGTAATGTTGGTGATTATGTTCAGGAAATTTTTGGTCGTTATTCCCATAAAATAAATATAAAAACAAACAACAACCAACTGTCTTTTCATTTAAAAATTGCGGCACAAACACTTTCAAATTACTTCCACTTCAAAGTTTAAGCCGGCACTCCATGGCGGTTACTGCACAAATCCCCCGCTCTTTGCTGCATCATGCCTTATATAGGACATTGAAATTTCCACCATTTTCCCCAACTTTCCACGACATTTTTGATAACATACACATCTAAGAACCAATATTACTTTGTTTACATCTACATTGACGATACTACCCTCACTAAATGGCCGACTCTCAGCGTTGATAAAACCAGTACTGAATTTTACACTGAACAATAACCCATTTCGCTTTGATATGGCAACGCTAGCCGTTTCCCCTTTCCATTCAGTTTTTCGATTCACATGATGCACAAGTGCATCCAACATGTTAATACAATTTCCTACGTCTTTTCTGGTATTGGCCGCAGCGCAATTCTTTTCCGGGTATGTATTTATTCCCTTAATAATAATAATAGTATTTTTTTCTCTTTTTTTGGTGCGCCGCCACTAACTTTGAACATCGCCGCCCTCAACTGACCCGCCCACGCAACAAAACATCGACCATTGCTGAGGATATTTCGCAAGGGACGATGTGCGTGACACCAAATTCCTAACGTGGGGAACTCCCACACCCTGGAGTCTCCATGCCGGGCCTGGATTCAATAAAAAAATGGTAAATTTCATATTGCATTAGGGATAACTCATTCACCTTATCGCATACATTGTAGTACACACATACTACGCTTCCAGTATTTACGACAGCGAACCCTATCTGTACTATTAAGCTTTGATTGGCAACGCGAACATATCTTCCTGAATGAATGGAGAAGAAGAAGGAGAATTATTTTTTTCTTTTACATTCGTTTCGATTGATCGAAACATATTTAACCTCCTTTTAAAATATTTATAACTTACTGTTTTCTTCTCGTAATATTTTCAGATTTATTCTCCTTAGGAGACTTTTGGCCTTATATTGGTTGCGTAAGTATAAATGCCATTCATTACTAGTTTTTAAATAATTGTATAAACATTTCTTTGTTACAGGTATGGATGTTGGAGGTCCGTCCGTCCACGGACACACAAAAGTTAACATTATTTATTCTGGCCACCAATGATCGAATTTGCTGCTACAAGGGCGCGTGTGCTTTACACATTTCATGATCGCCACACCCAAAGGAGATCAGCCCACGAAACGGGATGCCGATTCTTTGTTGTGGATGTGTTATGGTTTGTTTCGTGTGTTACAATATGCAGTCTGTCCGTTTAGTAATGCCCTTATTATACCCTCAGCCATATGACTAGTTTCCGGACATTTGGCACGATAACTCTCGAAAGGTATATCCGATTTCGTCCAAACTTGGTACATCGTAATATTATTATCAAACTTAGATCAAGACGGGCAATATCGGTCCACTCCTTCTAGTACCTCCCTCACCTAGGGTCACATCCCCCTATTAATGGAATCAAGTAAGCGGAACTTATCAAACTTGATGAATATTTCTCTCAACCAGGTGTTTGATGTGAATAAGGCATTTATCGGACCACTCCGGGTACCTCCAAATTTCAAATTTTGATTACCAATTATTTGATTTTCTTTGACATTTACAGGTCCCAATGTTCGTACCAGTATTTGGCAAAGTGGAAACTTATGGCATATCTTTTATAAAAAGCAGGAAGAAGTACATGTAGTCCAAATCTGGCGTGTTATAATATTTATATCAGAATAAGCTATGGAATGAGCAATATTGCTTGACACTTTCGGAACGTCCCTCATAATTGGTCAGCATACTAGAAGGACCATCCTGAGCTGAGGGTATATATCAGTCGGCAAAACCAACAAAGCGATACCCCCGTGGACACAACCTTTTTTTTTTTTTTTTTTTGATTGCCGAAAAAACAGACGATGTACCCCACATAGCCCAAGGAAATTCTTCGGGTAAGTTACACCTTTGTAGATGATACTAGAATATGACACGGACCGGAATTCTTCCAAAGATTGGAAATAATGCACCGCCAAGAGGTTAATGAACCAAGATGTAAAATCATTTTACCACCCCAACAGGGATATGTTCATACCAAGAATTAGGGAAAAGTGCAATATTGGGTACAGAGTTTGTGGAAGAAAAGGAAGGAAATAATGAAAGTTTTTAAAAAATGTATTTTAATTTCTGATACCTTATCACTTAGCCATTTCTAAAAAAGAATGTTTGCCCACTTAGTGGGAAATCCTTTCCAATGCTGTTGAGGCATCCACAAACAGTGCCCATATAATTCAAATGAATTGTTTAAATTATTCCCAACTTAAGTTTTTATATTGGTTTGTTCTGCATTTCCGCCCAAAAAAATAGGGTGTACTAGTGATATCTATGGGGAAGGTGAGGAAAGTTGATACTATTTTCATTTCAAATTATAGAATTTACATATCGACAAAGGCTGACATTACGTCTGTGGAATTTTTCTCTTTATTATTGGCAATAGTTGGGATTTTTACGTAGTTTGAATCTTACTTCAACACCTTCCACTTTGGTCTAACTTCCCAGGGCGTGATGGCATAGTTCCGACCCCGCATGGGGCCCCCATATGGGAAGCCATCTATGTGGTTATGGTCTAGCTACATGGCCCAAAAGCTGTAGCCTAGTTAGAATTCACAACTGCCTAATATTTTCCAAGTTTGCCATAATAAGGGAGCTCCGCAGCGGGTAGCCTTACCTTTTTAGGTCCTTTACGTGACACGTCCCTAACGACTTGCCTTGCATGTCCTCAATTTCAAACATATTGTTTCCCACAGGTTTAACTATCCTACATTTGAGATATTTCTTGCAAAATTTTGAGTTGATGTTCTTGCCAAAATCACTTAAAACATGGTTTCGTCTAAAGACCTCCTGTCCAGGTAAAAATTGCACTAAGCGTGCACGCTGATTATAACGTTTGGCACTCCTCTCATAGGCATGGTGTAGGTTTTTTGCTATTCTTTCCCTAATGATCTCTAATTTTTCCTTCCGACTTAGGTCATTTATTGCGTAGTCACATAGCGATTTTAATTTCCTTGCCAGTTTATAATCACTGCCGTTAGTGTACATCTCGTATCCGAAAAGTGCGAAAAAGGGTGTTACCCCAGTGGCTGTATGTATTGACGACCTTAATGCGCATTCAATTTCTGTTAGGTAGACATCCCAATCCCTATGGTCATCCTCTAAATAGGCTCGAATTGCGGCTAGTACGGACTGGTTCACCCTCTCTGAGGCGTTCGACTGCGGCGAGTAGGGTGCTGTCTGCATATGGTTGATCTTAAACATTTCAACCATTTCCTTGAATCCTTTAGCCGTGAATTGAGCTCCATTATCTGTATGGATCGTCTCAGGAACTCCGAATTTTCTAAATATCTCTTGCACTAAGAATTTAACAACGTTAGAGGTGGTGGCTTCTTTCATGGCTTTTAGAAACACAAATTTGGAAAAGTGGTCAACAACTATAAATATATAACTGTTGCCTGATTTGGATCGTGGATATTTACCTAAAAAATCCATATAAAGTTTTTGAAAGGGACGTTCTGTCAAGACTTCACACCCTATTGTCGGTTGTGTGTTTCTATTGACCGGTTTCGTTTCTTTACATGTTTGGCAGTTAGATATATACTGCTTCACCTGTTGTACCATTTTCGGCCAAAAATAAAATATTTGCAGGCGATGCAACGTCTTAGCTATACCGCCATGAGCTGAGGTTAGCTCATCATGTGCCTTTTGGATTAACAAATGGGTTAACGACTCTGGGACCCAAAGTTTCCATGGCATTTCATCCGAATTCAGTTCAGTTTCTGGTTTTGTCCGTTTGAATATGAGGCCGTTTTCTATTTTTATGTCAGGCAATTTATTTTGGTTTCTCCGTATTTCGTCTATTAAATTTTTATATTCTGCGCTTTCAAATTCTGTAGTTTCGAAATCGAATAAGTCCTCAACCACATCACATTCCTCGACGACTTCAAGGCGGGATAGCATGTCTGCCACCACATTATCCTTGCCTTTTCTATGCTCAATTTCGAAGTTATACCCCTGCAGCATTAGACTCCATCGGGCGAGTCTCCCACTCAAGTCTTTTACACCCATTAGCCATTTCAAACTAGCGTGGTCCGTTATGACCGTGAATTTCATTAATTCCACATAAGGTCTAAACCTTTTCACCGCCATAACGGCAGCCAGACACTCCTTTTCAGTAACGCTATAGTTCTTTTGGCAACTGTTTAGCTTCTGGGAGTAAAAGGCTATGGGGAACTCTTCATCATTATCGCCTTTCTGAAACAAGACTGCTCCTATTCCACAATCTGAAGCATCACATTGTATAAAAAATTCTTTTGAAAAATCTGGATGTTTAAGTACTGGAGCCGTGGTCAACGCCCTTTTCAGTTCTTCGAACGCCTCTATGGCTTTAGAGCTCATGGTAAATTTATTACTTTTTTTTAAAGTGTCTGTCAGAGGGGCGGAAATACTTGCGAAATTTTTTATAAAACGACGGTACCAGCCCGCTGTACCTAAAAAGCTCCTCACATCCCTAGGGTTTCTTGGAATTTTTAGTGTTCTAATCGCTCGTATTTTGTCAGGGTCGGTTTTGAGGACCCCTCCTCCGATTATAAAACCTAAATACCTCAACTCTTTAAAACAGAACATGCTCTTGTTAAGACCTATCGTCAGATTCGCACTCCTGAGACACTCCGCTACTTGTTCTAATAATTTCAAATGAGTTTCGAAATCTCCCGATATAACTAATAAGTCATCCAAGTATATGAATACGTTGGATTTTAGTCGGGCAGGTATGACCTTATCCATAAGTCGGCATAGACGTTGTGCGGCATTACATAAGCCGAACGGCATCATCCTGAATTGATAGAGCGGACGACCAGGTACCGTAAAAGCCGTGTATGGTCTCGACTCTTCATCCAGCTCTATCTGCCAAAAGGCATGTTTTAAGTCTACGCTACTTATGAATACCGTCTGATCAATTCTACTTAGTATCCCGTCGATATTTTGTAATGGATAAGCGTCTTTTATGGTTACGGCGTTTAACTTACGCGCATCCAAACAAAATCGGTTCTTCCCGGGTTTCCTGACGATGGTCGTCCTATTATTCCAAGCACTTTCACTCTCTTCTATAACTTTCAACTCTATCATCTTATCCAACTCTTCATAGACAATTTGTTGCATAGCTGGTGAAATGGGGTAGTGTTTATCCTTAATAGGATTGGTTCCCTCCAATAGCTTAATAGTGTGTTTTTCAAGGATGGTGTGACCTAGACCCATTTTTTCAAACGCTGGAAACTTTTCCACTATTCGATTGAGTTTTTCTTCTTGATCGGGATTTAGATTATGTTTTTCTCTCACATATTCATTATCATCTGCATATTTTGCTTGAACCTTTTCCATGTCGAGTTCATGTACTTCTAATACGTCTGGAGCTAAGTGGAACGCTTTCCAGAAATCTATTCCCAAATACAATGATTGCTCAAGATCCGGGCATAAGTAGAAACAAATTTCTTTTTCTAAATCTTTGTATGTGATTTTCAATCTAACTTTACCCAGTATCCTGTGTAGTTGACCTGAGGCTGTTCTTATATTAGTGTAATATGATTCTGATCCCATTTCTAATTCCTCTAGAAGCTCACGACATCCTTTGCCTAATATAGATACAGTGGCTCCGGAATCTAGCAAGCCTTTCACATCTTTATCTCCAATTTTAACTACGGCATAAGGTCTTGGGTCGGAAGTATCGTTGTATTTGCGAATTGACTCGGTTATCATATTCCTCAAAAATTTGTTTTCTTTTTTTCGTTGCCTGAGTTTTAGAATTCTGGCTAATTTCTTAGAATCATTTTTGATTTTTTTAACCGGTTTTGTGTTGTTGTCATCAATCTCACTATTCTGTTCAATCTCAGCGTTGCCTCCAGCTTCCCCAAATATCCTATTTCTGACAAATTCATAATTGGATCTTCGGATTTCAAGTGGAAGGTAGTGTCTGACAGAAGTATATTTATTGGTGTTTATGTTGGTGCTTGCTGGTTGGTCGTTGCGGGTTTGTCTCCCGAACATGATCTCCCCGCCGACGATATGTTCCTCTTGCCGTTTTCCGACTTGCACTTAGGACACCTTGGTGCCACAGTATTGGGTTGGCCACATCGGTAGCAAAACAATGATCTTTGTGAGGATAAACAATCCATAAACCTATGACCTGTTTTTCGGCAGTTCCAACAGATTGGATCGGTTTTCAGCTCTGACACATCCGGAACTTGTTCATCCTCATAGTAATTCAAATTATAATCATTATTATCTATATTTATCTCATTTACTCTAACATGTCTATTCGGAGGAGGAGGCATGTATCTTATTTCACGTTTTGAACATGTCTTTTCTGCTAAGATACACTCCATCCTGAGCTGTTCCATAGAACATATGTTCATTGGGTAAATCATCCTAAAAATATCTCCCTTTAAATTTCTTTTTACGATTTGAATTAGCTCTCCTTCAGATATGGGTTGAACTAACCTGGATCTCAAAGTGTTTATGGATTGGAAAAAGTTATCGATATCTTCTCCTGGTTTAAATTTCCTATCGACTATCTCGCTCATTACTTCAAAATTCGATCGAGTCGTACTGTATCGTCGATATAGGGCATCTTTTAAAGAAGGCCAATCCTTCACTACACCGGTCTTAATCTGTAACCAGTACCACTCATAAGCGCTGCCCGAGAGTAAAGACTGGAACTCGGCAAAGACTTCTTCCCATGACACCCTGTATTGGTTTTTTAGGTATTCGAGTCGAAACACGAAATCTTCAACAGACATGCCAGACTGATTACCATCGAATCTCAACTTGAATTTCTCAACTTTACTTGTTCTATCCAAATTGGGACCGTGATTGGCAAACATCATATTATTAGGTTGCATCTCTGGATGTCTGTTGGTTTCGATTATGGGAGGTGGATTTGGAAACGAAAATGGGATATTGTTAGGTTGATTGTTCAGAGCGTTTGTGCCAATATTCAAATTCTTTACTATGTCTCCTAATTTCCCAATGGCTTCATACACTTTTTTCATTTCCATTCCTATACACTCCTGCACTAGTGGCCTTAAATTTATTTCAGCATTGGTTACTCCGGCATCTACCATTTCCCTTAAAACATTGTTCATATCGTCATTAGCTGGCGTGGAACTATGAGAAGAACTAGTCGGGTTACCATTAGGAAGCATATTGTAAGTATTCGAATTGGGGTTAGGAGTAGCGTTAATAGTCTGGGACATATCAATTATAGATGGATTATTAACAGGAGGTGGATTTACCATTCTGCCAATCTTATCCTTTTTCCTATATTTCGGCAATGTTTGCACCGATATTCTACTAGCATCAAAGGACGCCGTGCGGTTTCTTTTGCTTCGACGATTTGTTTCAAATAAGTTTTCTTCACTCATTGGCAAATGCTTACGATTCTACCAATCTTTGAATGAAAACTTTGAATTCTTTTACGTTTTCCAATAATATTGTTTAAAAAAAAAATAATAAAAAAGACGAAAATTATACTTTACAAAAAAAAATAATATATCTATATGTGAAGTTATCAAGAATTTAGTCACACAAAAAAACACAATTTCTAATTTCAAACAGAACAATTTCTAACATCTAGGGGTTCTCCTTGCGATGGGTTGTGAGGTGTGTGTCTAAATAATTATATATATGTATATTTTTTTTTTTTTTTTAAATGTCCTTTCGGTTATCAAAACAGTTAAATACGAACACTAACAAAACACATATTTTTTTGAATTTTTCTTTCGACTGTGTCTTTACGGCAATTTCCCTTCTGTCTGAAAGAAAAAAGATCTCGTAAACGGGAGAACAACCAACATCTGCTTTTGTTCACATGCACGTTGTCCGTTTCCCCTAGTCGAAATTCCTAACTATTGCAGCTACTTATTAGAATCAAAACACAAAAGACAGGTCATTCACAATACATTCATTGTTACACACTAGACGAACAAGTTATTGCATCGACCGTTCTTATTATTATGGAAGTATTATACTAAATATCCTATTTTACCTTAAAACTAATATTGCACATTAACATGTTTTCAATAACAAAAACATGGCTCAATATCAGTCAGGTCCCAGGATATTGCTATAATACTTATTACTATTACTTTTCCCTATGGTCTATTTTTATTGCACGTAGGTGGTATTGCACAAAAATTATCCTATCTCAGTTCTAAATGAACTTAATTTTTTTTATATTGGGCGCCATCTGTTACATTCCCTGATATGGCGGCGCTAGAATGGACCATCCGACTGGCTTGCGTGCTCAGGGCCTCGGTTCTCAACCATCCATATCTAACACCTCAGGGCGAACATACATTTTTCTTTGAAGAGACAAACAAACAACATAAATAAAATTTAGAAACAAGATAACTGTTTTGATAAAGGGATATTGATATTTTTATCCCTACGTTCGCCCGCCCTTCCATGGTTTCCAAGTCTCCTCTTTAAAATCCACTGGAAACCCCACAAGACACTCACACTCACCTCATCACCTTACTCCAAGGGAAACCCCCCGCTTACTAACAGATCACCACATATTTCTTTCACGAACCAAACATTAAAACATTTATTTTATAAAAGGTTTCTTAAAACTAATTTCGTTTTTTTTTTTAATTGTTTAATCTTTCTCTTTTTTTTTTTTTACGGAATATCTAACACCAGTTTAGCGAGAGACTATTGATTTTTATTCACGCAAATTTTATTACCAAATGCCTACCCTAAGAGAGCTCGCTTAAGATGGTTATTCCTGGGCCAAAATGACCAATTCTAATACCCGACCTCTCTGAAATCGCACACAACTTGTGATTACTATCCTGGCGTTAAAAATCCTTACAGTTGAAATCACTTAAACTCTAGGACATACACAAAGACAACACAATTTTAACACTAAATACATATACGTTGTTGAATGGTTAATTAATTATTAAAATTTCGGCTTGTTTGACAATTGCATCTTAATTGATGTTTTTTTTTTTTTTAAAAACATTAAAATTTTCTTCTTTTCTTGTTTTGCAGGAAACCGCCGACGCACTCTTAGCCCCTTTGTTATATATCTTATAAAATTCAAATTCTAAGGGTTACCTTGCGCTCCAGCCTTGAATGTGTGGCAATTGGTAATACCTTAACCCCGATGCACACTGACTAATCCAAACCAACGCACAGGTATCGTAGTGACTGGCAATTGGTGGATAAGGCTGACACTACCGGCACTTCAATTTTTCTATAGAAAGGATGATGATGCGGGTGATGCTTCCTAGTAATTTGCTGCCACAACCCCAAAATTACGGTAGAAATACTGGGTGAAAGACGAATCACTGGCCCCACTTCTGGAATACCTGAGGCCAGTAATGTTGGTGATTATGTTCAGGAAATTTTTGGTCGTTATTCCCATAAAATAAATATAAAAACAAACAACAACCAACTGTCTTTTCATTTAAAAATTGCGGCACAAACACTTTCAAATTACTTCCACTTCAAAGTTTAAGCCGGCACTCCATGGCGGTTACTGCACAAATCCCCCGCTCTTTGCTGCATCATGCCTTATATAGGACATTGAAATTTCCACCATTTTCCCCAACTTTCCACGACATTTTTGATAACATACACATCTAAGAACCAATATTACTTTGTTTACATCTACATTGACGATACTACCCTCACTAAATGGCCGACTCTCAGCGTTGATAAAACCAGTACTGAATTTTACACTGAACAATAACCCATTTCGCTTTGATATGGCAACGCTAGCCGTTTCCCCTTTCCATTCAGTTTTTCGATTCACATGATGCACAAGTGCATCCAACATGTTAATACAATTTCCTACGTCTTTTCTGGTATTGGCCGCAGCGCAATTCTTTTCCGGGTATGTATTTATTCCCTTAATAATAATAATAGTATTTTTTTCTCTTTTTTTGGTGCGCCGCCACTAACTTTGAACATCGCCGCCCTCAACTGACCCGCCCACGCAACATTTTGATGACTTTAGCTATATTATTCACAAATTTTTTTCTAAGTTTCGCATTTGAATATTGTTATGGCTTATGACAAAAGTTACCTATGCAGGTCCATGTCGTCGTATAAACTCTAATGTAACAGCTACATTCGGTATTTTTAAGATTTTAACAGAATTTTTAACGGATTTTATTGTTTTTGAGAATTGCCAAATTCGTACCAAATGGTGGAGGGTATTCAAAGTTCGGCCCGGCAGAACGTACAGCTTTTTTACTTGTTTTGTCTGGGAAATTCTCCCAAGAAGAAACTTTAAAAATAACTTGTATGACAAATAACTTTTTTTACCCAAGTGACGAAATGGTAACCTCAATAGAAGAGGAACCAAACAATTACATAAAACTAAACTTCTTTTGGAAAAACTTCTAAATCTTACAACCGCACTTATAAATTATTTGTTTTTAACTTTGATTGTTGCCCTTGAAACTAAGATTATGTTTTCTTTGGCTTTATTGGCTTAATAAATATAAATTTACAAGAAACTCCAGAAAGTTGCTAACACACACACTCATCTTTTCACGTTCCGCCGTTGCTTAAGCGGTTCATCTGGCATTTTTGGTGTGGTCAGCCAAAATACAGGGTTGCCCAATTAATACAGGGTTGCCCATATTCGACGGACCCATCTGGCAACGCCATAACTTTTGACATAGATGTCACATCGCTTAATGACATACCGCGTTTGAAGCGTCAGTCCAAGCAGATTTTTACCATGAACCAATACACGCCACGCGAAATAGTTAAAATTTACATTCAACAGAAGAAGTCAATTGTGAAAACTCAACGTGCTTTTAAAACATTAAAAAATGTGAGAAGTGCGCCTTCTAAGAACACCATTAAGCGTTTATACGAAAAATTTTCGACTGGTCAGGCTCTTTCTAATCCGAAGAGGCCATATAAAAATCGACCAAGGCGATCGGCCGAGAATATCGCTGCCGGACGAGCCAGTGTTGAGAGGTCCCCAAGAACATCCCAAAAACGCCGTTCTCAGCAGTTGGGCATGGCTCGTTCCACTTTACAACGGATCATTCGCATTGATCTGCATTTGTTCCCGTACAAAATTCAATTGACGCAAAGAATGTTGCCTGCGGACAAGCCTCGTCGATTGGAATGGACCCAAAGAGTCATGGGTCCGTCGAATATGGGCAACCCTGTAAGTAGTATTTGTACAAAAGCCATTTTAATACTTTAGCTTCAAACGTCCCCTTTGGCGGCACGCCACGGGTGGAATATAAAAGCTTATTTTTATACCCTCCACCATAGTATGGAGGGTATATTAAGTTTGTCATTCCGTTTGTAACACCTCGAAATATACATTTTAGACCCCACAAAGTATATATATTCTGGATCAGCATAAAATTCTATGTCGATTTATCAATGTCCGTCCGTCTATCCGTCTGTCCGTGTATCCGTCCGTCCGTCTGTCCGTCTGTGGAAATCACTCTAGCTTCCGAACGAAATGAAGTTGGTTGATAAAATTTTACTCAAATGTGTACTATGTCTGCAGAACTTTTGGTATTGAAAATGGGCCATGTAGGTCCACGTATAGCCCTCATATAACGGTACCTCCCGATATGCGGTATTTTGATGATTCCAGCGACATTTTTTACTGGCATTGTTTCAAAATTAATATTTAAAGTTCATAATAGATGCTACGGCTTAAGACAGAAAATGGGTCATGTAGGTTCACGTCTTCGTATATAACGGTACCCCCCGATATTCGGTATTTTGATCATTTTAGCGACAATATTCGTCGGAATTGTATATTATTTGGTATTTGAAGTTCGTAATGAATACAACATCCTAAGACAAAAAATGAGCCATATAGGTCCACGTCTTCGTATAGCCTCCATATAACGGTACCTCCCGATATTCGGTATTTTGATGCTTTTAGCGACATTATTTACCGGAATTGTTTCAAATTTCGCATTTGAAGTTGGTAATGAATACTACAGCCTATGACGTAAAATCGTCTGTGCAGGTCCACGTCTTCATATAGCCCCCATATAACGGTACCACACAATATTCGGTATTTTGATGATTTTAGCGACATTAATTACCGGAATTGTTTAAAATTTCGCATTTGAAGTTCGTAATGAATACTACAGCCTATGACGTAAAATCGTCTGTGCAGGTCCACGTCTTCATATAGCCCCATATAACGGTACCTCCCAATATTCGGATTTCAATATAGTAACAGCTTGTGACAAAAGTTGCCTATGCAGGTCCACATCGTCGTATAGACTCTAAAATACGGCTACATTAGGTATTTTCAAGATTTTAACAGATTTTTAAGGGATTTTATTTTATTTTTTTTTTTTTTTTGAAAATTGTTAAATTTGTACCAAATGGTGGAGGGTATTCAAAGTTCGGCCCGGCCGAACATACAGCTTTTTTACTTGTTTTGCTTAGTTTTTGCAAACGCCGCACAGTGGTGTGAGGTCTTCAAAAAATTAATTCAGACAAGAACTCTATCGCTTTTAAATTTTGCTCAAACGAATTTTACTCCTAGGATATTAAAATATTTATAGAAATTGATAGCACGGCTCATATAATTTAATATAAATATTGATGGGGATTTTTGCTAAAATGGCACAACATTTCCACCGGTATATCACGAATAAAGGTTTTAATATTGCCTTCCAATTGCGAACTTTGACAAAATAGTCCAAAGGCGTTAAATCACACGATATGGGCGGCCAAAGTCCATTATTCCCCATGCTGTGTGGCATAGTCTTACTGAAATCACATATCATAAAAGTCAAGCTCTTGCATTTTAGGGAAAAAGTTGGATATCATCTCACCGTAGCGTTTACCATTCACTGTTAGGTTATGATTGGAAGCATCTTTGAATGAGTATGATCAAATGATGCCACCGGCCATAAAGCGCAACAAACTGTGATATTTTGTGAAGGCATTGGTAGCTTTTGCAATGTTTCTGTCTGATTTTTATTTACTTACCCACTGACCTAAAAATGAGCTTCGTAGCTGAACACAATTTTTCGATAAACAAGTTAAAAAGTATGAATCGGTTTTGTCGACAGCCTATGTCAGTTTATTATACCATTAGCCATATGGCCACAAAAGAAGACATATCATTTGATACGGCCAAAACGTGTCCCATCAAAATAATTGTTTTAGACCCCAGGCCTCTTTGTACCAAATCCGTTTCAGGACATTTGGAGTCGATCTAAGGTTGTCCGTTCGTCCGTCTATCTGGCTGGTGCGCACGATAACTTTCGAAGGGAATACCCGATTTGGTACATAGTAATATTATTATCGAAGATAGATCGAGTTCGGAAATGGACAATATCGGTATACTTCTTCTGGTACCTCCCAACAAAAGGTCGAAATTTTCAAAAAAAAAAAAAAAAAAAAATATTTTGCTGAAAAGAAAGAAAAGATAATCCGATTTTGCTCCAACTTTGCAAGTCCTAATATTTGCATTAGTGCTAGGTCCGGTGCGGAAATGAACAATATCGGTCCACTCCACTAAATACCTCCCACACAGGGGTCAACATTTTGAATAATTATATCTCTTATAAAATGTGATGTAAAAATCTGATTTTCTTCGAATTACACACATCACAATATTTTTATTAACCCAAGGTCTGGTGTGAAGATGGAATATATCAGTCCACTTCTTCTAGTAAATCCCCCAGAAAGGGTCAACATTTTGAAAATCCATAAAGCTCATAAAACGCGAAGTTAACATCCGATTTCATTCAGTATTGGTACATCTCAATATTTCCAACAACACAAAATCTTTTATAAAGATGGTACAGATCGGATAAATTCTTCTGATACCACCCCCACATAGGGTTCACGATTTGAAAAACAAAACGCTCAAAGAAAGCGAAATAAGCATCTAACTCTCTTCAAATTTCACAAATGCAAACATTTTTGCTAATACATGGTCTGCGAATCCCTTCTGGTATCTCACCCACAAAGATCGCAATTTTCAATATTTTTTGGTGGCCATTATGCACTCGAAATTAGAAGCGAGGAACCTCATTTTGTAACCATTCTTGGGTGGCGTGTGCTGAGTGCGATGCTGTTGAGTCCTGTTGGAATGTCCAAGGTCTGCAGCCAAAATTTTTGCGTTCCCAAGGCTTTAATACACCCTCCAGAATATTTTCGCGATAATATTCGGAATTTGTTCTAATCAATACGAGTTATGGCGGCCCACACCATCACCATGGCCGGCGCTTGAGTTCACGTGGCCAACCGAAGGTGCACATTTTCAGCTGACCTCTTTGGCAAGTAAATACGACCATTGTGTTTGTTTGCAAACTGCTGGACAACGAATGTTTTTCCATCGGTAATTCTACCCATACCAAAATTTTTATCTGCATTGGATTTAGTATGACAATTGGGTACGTCGGTCGACTATATCTGGTACTTCACGCACA